CAGGCAAAATAAATGTTACGCCGAATTTTCCTTGTGTCCAAAAAAGGAGTGGGAGGAAGTAAAAACTTATTTAACCCCACCCCTTTTTTCTACCGTCCCAAATAAACAAAGAACACATACCGACTTCTCATTTCCTGTACATTATAAGCAACAATTGCACAGTACCCGCATTGCATTACACTTTTTTTAAACCGAGTCTTATTCCTACACCTGCTGGCCTCGGTGAGCTTCATTTGTACGACGTCACGCTCTTTAAACATCCACTTCTTCCTTTCTCTCTTTGCTCTTTGCTCCGTATCGTTTTGCCATTAGTAAATTGCATCCACAGGTTTTACAATACACTTTACCACGGAAACTTAATTAATACGAACAAAGTGGCAGTCAGCAAAACTCCGCTTGTTCTTTATCAGCAAAAACCTATTTCATTTTGTCCTCATTTCGCTGCAGACACTCCTCTTGGCACCCGGCGGCTCAATGCTTTTAAACGCTGCTCCGTCCCCCCCCCCCCCCCGCCATCTCGCGCGCCAACTCGCTAATCGGAGTAATTAGTTAATGGGCTGATAACATTTCTTAAAGCTACAGTAAGCACTTTTCCGTCCCGTACACGCGACGCTCTGTAAGGTCCAAAACGGTTGCCAAGCCTTTTCCTCCTCCTTCTTCTTCTTCTTACTCTGGGATGTAAAAATATATACGCATCGGCCATCGGAGTTCACGACGCTCCATCGAGACCCGTGCCTTGCCAAAACATCTCCACCATTTTTGACTCGGAGCCAGAGAGTCCATCAACAAAACGGCAAACTTTTTACTTTTACTTTTTACTTTTCCGAGGGTCCTATATTACGCCAGAGCCGGGACACGTGACGGGAGCGGTGCCAGTTGGGGAGCGATGCCGGGGTTCGTTTCGCTGGCTCGGCCCACGTGTCGTTCTCGTTCGTTCAGTCAGTCGTTTTTCAAAATAAAATGAAAAATAAGAAAATGGAAATAACAGTGATTTTCTTCGTTATTTGTCTCCAAAACTAAAATGGAAAAACGGATAATGATTTGGTGTTTTAGTTTTCGATTTTGTGTTTAAATGAAAAATGGAAAAAACGGATAATGGACTGAACCAGGACTGAGACCAGGACCAAACCAGGACCAGGACTGAGACCGGGACCAGACCGGGACTGAGACCAGAAATGAGACCAGGGCTGAGACCAGCTTAGTCCTGGTTCACTGACTGAACCAGGACTAAACCGGACTGAGACCGGGACCAAACCAGGACCAGGAGTGAGACCGGACTGAGACCGGGACTGAGACTGGGACCAGACTGGGAGTGAGACCAGTTTAGTCCTGGTTTAACCCTGGTTCATTCCTGGTTTAGTCCTGGTTCAGTCCGTTATCCGTTTTTTCCATTTTTCATTTAAATACAAAATCAAAAACTGAAAAAAACAAATCATTTTCAGTTTTTTTTTTTTTTTTCATTTTGGTTTTGAAGACAAATAATGAAGAAAATAGTTGATTTTTCATTTTCTTATTTTTGGTTTTATTTTAATCCTCGCGTTCTTCTCGGGGTCACACTGACCCCAAGAAAAACATTTTTTTTCTTTCCCGCTCTCTGGGGGCAGGTCAATCAGACCCAAAAATTAATTTTCTCGCCTGGTGAGAATTGATTTGAAAATAAATTTTTGGTCTGATTGACCCACCCAAGAGAACGGGAAAGAAAAAAAAATGTTTTTCTTGGGGTCAGTGGGACTCGAGTAGAGCGTGAGGGTTAAAAACAAATGAACGAACGACACACAGATTTTCCTCCCCAGTTTTTCTTTTCTTCCTCCTTCTTTTGGCTGACACAGGATTCAAATCTGATTAATTGCGCCCTCTGCTGGTGTTTTAATCAACCAATTTCACACCAGTTAAGTTATTTAAGTCAAGATTTTCAATTAAACCGTAGAAAATCTCAATGCTACGGAGTCCAAAATGGTTCAAAACGGCGCCGCAATCAGATCGAAAATGATAAAACTTCCTCTACAAAGTCAAACCGATCCTTTTCTTCTCCGTAAAAGCTGCTAAACCTGTCGTCTTTTGTTTGGGCGCGTTAAAAATGTGAACTTTTATCAGAAAGCGTAATATAGGACCTGAACTCAACCACTGTCCAAACCTGCCCCGTGTGTTTTCAACGGAGAAGTCTGCGTAAAATCCGTGTGTCGTTCGTTCATAAAATAAAACCAAAAATAAGAAAACATAAAAACAACAATTTACTTCATTATTTGTCTCCAAAACTAAAATGAAGAAACAGATAATGATTCGGGTTTTTTTTTTCAGTTTTTGATTTTGTGTTTAAATGAAGAATGGAAAAAAAATGGATAATGGACTAAACCAGGACTAAAACCAGGACTGAACCAGGTCTCAGGTCCCGGTCTCAGGTTCCAGTCCGGTCTCAGGTCTGCTCTGGTCTCGGTCTCAGGTCCGGTCTCAGGTCAGGTCTGATCCTGGTCTAGTCTCGGTCTCAGTCCTGGTCTGGTCCCGGTCTGGTCTCGATCTCAGGTCCGGTCTGGTCCCGGTCTCAGTCCCAGTCTGGTCTCGATCTAGTCCCGGTTTGGTCCCGGTCTGGTCTCGGTCTCAGTCCTGGTCTCAGTCCCGGTCTGGTTCCGTTTTGGTCCCGGACCTGGTTTAGTCCTGGTTTAGTCCTGGTTTAGTCCTGGTTTAGTCCTGGTTTAGTCCGTTATCTGTTTTTTTCCATTTTTCATCTAAACACAAAACTGAAAAAAATGAATCATTTTCAGTTTTTTCATTTTGGTTTTGGAGACAAATAACGAAGAAAATTGTTTTTTTTTTCCCATTTTCTTATTTTTGGTTTTATTTTGAAAAACAGACGACCGAGCGACACAGATTATTGCGTAAACACTGTGAAGGAGTTAAATGTTGATTTCGATGCATCTTTATTGAATGAACAGTCTTATGCCACAGTTTGTTAATATGTGACGTGTGTTTGACTTAAAATGGATCACTAATCACGAGTCTTTTGTCGATGAATAAAGTCATATTTTTGTATAAATGTTGTTTGTCTTTACTTCAAAATGTACAAATTATTCAAAACGCTAGAAAAGTCACATTGAAAAGACGGAAATGAAGGTTTTTCTGAACGATCTGGAGCTGGATCAGAACAAAAATAAAAGCACAGAGACGAATATTCAAAGTATTGGAGTATTTCAAAATAAAACCAAAAATAAGAAAATGAAAAAACAACTATTTTCTTCAACAAAAGTTTTAGATTTTGTGTTTAAATGGATAATGGAAAGAAAAAAAAAGATAACTGCTGTTTCTTGTTTCCGTGACTTAAACTGATGCCAGACTGAACCAGGTCTAAACCAGGACTAAACCAGGACTGAACCTAGGACTAAACCAGGACTGAACCTAGGACTAAACCCGCCCTGAACCAAGTCTGAACCACGACTGAATCAAAGACTAAACCAGGACTAAACCAAGACTGAACCACAACTGAGCCAAGGACTAAACCAAAGACTAAACCAGGACTGAACCTAGGACTGAACCAGACCTAAACCAGGACTAAATCTAAGACGTTCCAGAACCTAGGACTGAATCTAGGACTGAACCCAGGATTAAACCAGGGCTAAACCTGGACTAAAACAGGACTAAAAAGAACTGAACCCAGGACTAAACAAGGACTAAACAAGGACTAAACCAGGACTGAACCAGGACGAAACCAAGACTGATCCAAGGACTAAACCAGGTCTGAACACAGGACTGAACCAGGTTTTCGTTTTATTTTGAAAAACGAATGATACGTGGATTACCCATGGACTAGAGCTGGTATCATACAGAAGTTGCCGATACGATACACACCTCGATACAGTGCACTTTTAATTCAATACAGTTCAATAAAAATAAGTACTAAATCATGTCTGTGACATTAAGTCTTTGCATAAGAAGTGGTTTAACAAATTTCAGACGAAACACAATCATTAAAACAGTGAAAATATCAAATGTGTTGCATAAACAAGTTTCAACAAAAGGGGTCACAACAAACACAAATGCAACAACACGACAAAAAGCCACAACAAACCAAAAAAAGCCACACCGGAAATGACCGCGGGACTCTATTTTAATGCAAACACCGTAACAAATACAAACGCAAAAGCCACAACACATGAAAAGCCGAAACAATTAAAAAGCCACAACACATTAAAAAGCCACAACACAAACGCAAGAGCCACAACACATTAAAAAGCTGCAACAAATTAAAGAGCCACAACACATTAAAAAGCCACAACACATTAAAAAGCCACAACACAAACGCAAGAGCCACAACACATTAAAAAGCTGCAACAAATTAAAGAGCCACAACACATTAAAAAGCCACAACGGAAAATAGAGTCCCGCGGTCATTTCCGTTGTGGCTTTTTGTTGTGTTGTGGCTTTTTTTGTTGTGTTGTGGCTTTTTTTTTGTGTTGTGGCTTTTTTTTGTTGTGTTGTGGCTTTTTTTGGTTTGTTGCGGTGTTTGCGTTTGTTGTGACTCCTCTCGGCTTCCGTAAGTTTCCTTTCTCTAAACAAACAACAAAGTGTAGCTGTAACAAAATAATTGAGTAAAATAAACCAAAAATACTCTTGGCGATATATCGATACAGCAGCCCACGATATCGATACTGTATCAGCACATTAAAAAATACGATATATCGATATTTCAATATTTTCCCCCAGCCCTAACATGGACCACAGAAGGATTACACAGAAAGTTCTACCATTTAATGTTGAAAATCACAGTATATTGTCTAAAGAAAGTGTTTTTTTTATTTTTTTTATTGAGTATCGAGTCTAAAAATCGAGTTTGAAATGTTAGTATCATCACAGCGCTGGTTTGTGGAGAGTTGGTGGTGTGTTTAACTGTGATCTTCATTTAATTGGAGCCAAATAGATTTTTTAAAAAGTCCATGTTTTATTTTTTAGACTGTTTCTGGTGTTAATACTCGGAGTTTAAACGTTGCATTTTTTCTATTTTGTTCCAGAAGTGAGAAAACCAGTGGAGTCTGGAGACGGACGACTGTTCAGTGGAAGAAACTCGCTCAACGGAGGTAGAGTTTTCCACATTATTTTAAAGGGCGAGGGCCTGAACAGCTCTACGGGGGATTTATTGTTCTAGAAATATCCAAACTTAAAGCTCCTATATGACGCAAAATGTTCTCTTGAGAGGTTTAAGTCATAAAAACACAGAGCCAGAGTTGTGTTTTGTTTCATTCACACGTGTTTGAGAAACTCTCCGAAGATCAAAATGAACTTGTGATGTCATGAAGTGGTGGTTTTCATCTCCTCCTTTCACCTTTAGGAGAGATTCAAAGGGTTGTGATTCTAGTGAAGGTGTGTAGAGTTTAAAAACACAGTGGAGCAAACTGGTTCTCACTCAGAGGCTCTGTTAAATTATTCCATAAATCCGTGTATCATTCGTTCATTCAGTTTTCAATATAAAACCAAAAATAACAACATGAAAAAATAACTGTTTTCTTCATTATTTGTCTCTAAAACCAAAATGAAAAAACAGATGATTCGTTTTTTTCAATTTTCGATTTTGTGTTTAAATGAAAAATAACGTCTGTTTCCCGTTTACGTGACTTCTGTGACTGCGATGCCGGACTTTTACACTGCATACGGACTGAACCAGGACTGAACCAGGACTGATCCAGGACTGATCCAGGACTGGGACCAGACCGGGACCAGACCGGGACCAGAGCGGACTCGGAGCTTTGACTCCGAGCCTCCACAGGGTCTAAGCCTCAGCTTCGAGCTCCGGCCCTGTCTTGGACTCTGAGCCTCTGGTCTGGTCTCAGTCTGGTCCCTGTCTGGTCTCGATCTGGTCTCGGTCTGGTCTCAGTCTCAGTCCCGGTCTGGTCCCGGTCTGAGTCCTGATCTCAGTCTTGGTCTGGTCCCGGTCTGGTCCCAGTCTCAGTCCCGGTCTGAGTTCCAGTCTGGTCCCAGTCTGGTCCCGGTCTGGTGTCGGTCTCAGTCCCAGTCTGAATCCTGATCTCAGTCTCTGTCTGGTCCTGGTCTGGTCCCAGTCTGGTCCCAGTCTCTGGTCCCGGTCTCGGTCTCAGTCCTGGTCTGGTCCCGATCTCAGTCTCGGTCTGGTCCTGGTCCCAGTCTGGTCCCGGACCTGGATCAGTCCTGGTTCAGTCCGTATGCGATGCAAAAGTCCGACATCACAGTCACTGAAGTCACGTAAATCCGTTTTTTTTCCATTTTTCATTTAAACACAAAATCGAAAACTGAAAAACGAATCATTATCTGAAGAAAACCGTTGTTTTTTCATTTTCTTATTTTTGGTTTTATTTTGAAAAACGAACGATACGACATCAGGATATTTCAGTTATCGTCGCGTCTCTCGTGAACACGTCCCGCTCTAACTCTGGACCGGTTTGTTTCCGCAGGCGTCCCGTTCTCCGACTGGAACACGCCGTCGCCGTCGTCGGACCCGCCCGTCACGCTGGTGTCGGAGAAGGACAACTCCTGGCTGTACACGCTGGACCCCATCCTGGTGACCATCATCGTCATGTCGTCCCTGGGCGTCCTGCTGGGGGCCGTGTGCGCCGGGCTGCTCCTCTACTGCACGTGCTCCTACAGCGGCCTGTCGTCGCGGTCGTCCACCACGCTCGAGAACTACAACTTCGAACTGTACGACGGCCTCAAGCACAAAGTCAAGCTCAACCAACAACGGTGCTGCACGGAGGCGTGAAAACCCAACGGACGTTTTGCGGAACTGTGTCGGTAAAGACGGACGGACGCGAAACGGAGTCATGACGTTCCAGCCGATCGAATCTGCGGCTCGGAAGCGTGAACGAAAACGAAATCTGGACACACGGTGGACGTTTCGAATCCGTGTGTCGTTCGTTCAGTCGTATTTCAAAATAAAACCAAAAATAAGAAAACGAAAAAACGTCAAACAACAATTTTCTTCATTATTTGTCTCCAAAACCAAAATGAAAAAAAAAATTAAAAACAGATAATGATTTGTTTTTTTTCAGTTTTTGATTTTGTGTTTAAATGAAGAATGGAAAAAAATGGACTGAACGGACTGAACCAGGACTAAAACAGGACTAAAACAGGACTGAACCAGGACTAAACCAGACGTGAACCAGGAGGACTAAACCAGGACTGCACTAGGACTAAACCAGGACTAAAACAGGACTGAACCAGGACTGAACTAGGACTGAACCAGGACTGAACCAGGACTGAACCAGGACTGAACCAGGACTGAACCAGGACTGAACCAGGACCAAACTGTTCTCAATCCTGGTCTGGTCCCGATCTCAGTCCTGAACTTGTCCCCATCTGGTCCCGGTCTTAGTTCCAGTCTCTATTCTCATCTGGTCCTGGCCTCAGTCCCAGTCTCAGTCCTAAACCAGGACCTAACCAGGACTGTCAGGTGATCAGGACTGAGAACAGGACTGAGGCCGGCTTAGTCCTGGTTTAGTCCCAGTTTAGTCCTGGTTCAGTCATTGATCCGTTTTTTCCATTTTTCATTTAAACACAAAATCGAAAAACTGAAAAAACGAATCATTTTCTGTTTTTTCATTTTGGTTTTGGAGACAAATCGTTTTCGTTTTTCGTTTTCTTATTTTTGTTTTGTTTTGAAAAACAAACGAACGAACGACACATGGATTATTTTGTGGAATATCTGTAAAGAGACGCTTTGTGGATAGACACGAAACAGCGGACAAAGTTTAAGCAAATTTTCTACCTACAAAGGAAAACGAAATTTGGACAACAAACCTCGGCGATTTTGTGGAACTTAAACTGTAAAGACGGTCACTTTCGGAATCACAAAACGTCGGACAACGCTCAATCAACAACGGTGCTGCATGAAAATCAAAATCTGGACTTCCAAACACGGACGAGAAACGGTAGAGATTCAGTTTTATCCAACAAAACGAACAAGAAGCAGGAAAACAACAACAAGCGGCCATTTTGTGGAACTACAAACTGAAGCCGTATGAAGGAATTAAGAATCTAACGTACATGACCTTTCATCAAACTCTTTTCTGCGTCAAATCGAGGACAAAAACACAATTTGGACAAGAAAAAAATCAAACAAAACAACTGTTATTTTGTGGAACTATATCTGTGAAGACTTTTTACTTTGACAAATCACAAAATGGCGGACGAAGTTTTCGTCAATCTCAACCGACAACACGAGCAAGAAAACGAAACTAATCTGGATTTCAAAACTCGGATAGAGCAGCAGTCGTTTTCTGAAACTTAAACTACGTTCAGACCGCAGCCTCAAGTGACACAAATCTGTTTTTTTTTTTCACCCCTGTACCCGATTTTTTAATCACACAGATCTGATTTTTTTCCCAGTTGTGATCCAGGACATTTAGATCTGTGCTCCTAAAACTGATACATATCTGATCTTTTGACGTGCGACTTCAGTCTGAACGGTCAGGTCACATTCATCCCACCTACACGTCGTCGAAAGCGAGGTTAGCGAGTTTATTAATATTTCGGGACATTGCTGTATTCAGGACAAATCGGAACCGGGCGTTTTTTTGAAATGATCGCTGAAGAAACGTCTGAGCGCGGCTACAGACGGACCTGCTCCAACGTCAATGAAAAATAAAGAACCTGCGAGAAAATACAAGGATAAAGACGTCCGTTTTTCCCCGGACATGTCAGTTTTTTGCGTCCTGTCCTTGGCGTCCGGGTTTTTTTTTTTTTTTTTAAGAGATGGAAATGTCCGGGTTTTCATTTCCGTTCACTGGGGGCATTAAATTGAACATCTCTCGTAGCGTCTGTAACTCAGAAGAAGCGAGCAAACACAAAGAGTCGGTCAGTCTGCAACATGCCGAAACACAAATGCACATTTAACGATGACTTGTACAAGAAATTGTCCGTTTTCCGTTCCGGTCGGGACAAGTGGGAGTCCATGTGCACAGGTTGCGAGATGAGAGTAGCTTAAATGTCGAGGCCCCACCTCCCAGCCCCGGTAAAGTGTCCGGGTTTTCACAAACGGAAATATGGTCACCCTAGGATAAAGACTCAAACAAACGAAGCGACCGTGAACGTGTAACCTGGCCTTTTTTAAGAAAAACCACTAGAACCGTTTTTTTTGGGAGACAAGCCCAGAGTTTAGGCGACTTCCGTAAACTTCCGAACACTTTTGTGGCGTTTAAAGTTCACATTGGAGATCAAATTTAATTGGAAATGTGAACGAGATCGAGACCAAATTGAGTTTTAAGAACTGCGGTCTGAACGTAGCCTGTATCTCTGACAAATGCGGCATTATGTTCTGAAAACATAAAATTTTTGGCGGACAATTTTTTCAGCGAATCAACACCATAGCAAAGCGTAAAGAACAAAACGTAATCTGGACTTCAAATTCAAGACCATTTCAGGAGAGAAGTCTTAGTATTTTTTCTTAAAACATGACGACGACTTTCACAAATACACGGACTAAGTTGCGTCCAAACCACGCAAAAGGATCGGCGAAGGATCCTCGAGAATGAAGACTTGCAAACTTTTGGGATTTCCGTTCTACATTTTGGATACACGAACTCAAAAAAAACGGCGAAACGTTGACGCACGACGAGTAAATCAAGACACGACGGCGACCATTTTTGAATTTAGCGCGAATATCGGACAAAAACGGACACTGCCGACGGCGGCGCTCGCTTAAATGGACCGAACAAGCCTCAAAAAAAACCACGACGCACGTTGACGTTTCTTTGTTCGAGCGTCGAAAACAAACAAAGATCGTCAGCTTTCCAAGGCCTCAAACGAAATCACTCGTACTGGAAAAGTGTTAATAATGTTTGGATGTTTGTAAGCTGTTTTGGAAAAGACGGTAGAAGAAGTAGAAATCGTGGGCGAAAGTGGCCTAGATAGCTCCCTCGTGTGGCCATTTTTGTTATCGCACCTCTCCAGACTTCACCTTCTGTGGTCATTTTAGCCTTTTAGATTTTCCTTGCACTGTTTTACGTTGACGCCAATGTGGTAGAAAGACTTCAGAGAGGCATTTTGTACATTTTTAAAAAGCAGATTTTGTGTTTTTAATCGTTTATGTTGGACTGTTGTTCTTTGTCCCCCGTCTCGTTTACAAAGAATGGTGGATTAGTCGAGTTTTGCAACCTATGGATTGCGATAAAATTGTTAAACTGACTTTGTTTTTTTTTGTCGTTTTGAGATGGGAAAATGCACATCGGAAAGTCAAAATGTCGGAATAACGAGGAAAGACGATAAGTTTTACATGTGGAGCGTTAAAAAGCCATGGAAGTAAGGACCTACACCCCTGAAAATTCAACACTTTGGGACAATTTTTATATGATTTTTGGACAGTTTTTCTGAATCGAAAAAGCTCTGAACGGACTGAAGCCATGAGAAGGAGAGGGTCACATGTTCACGCTTCACCCTATTTTATAAAAACGGCGGGTTTAAATGTACAGATAAACACGACGACGGAAGCTCGGGTTACGCACACGGGACGAGGAAATGGACAAATGTAATCATCAACTTCATAATTTGTCATTTTTGGTTAAAAATTACAAACTGTAGAAAAGAAAACTTGAATGTATTAATTTAGAAATGCGTAAAATTGCCAAAATAGAAGTTAAAATTCTTCAAATTGAGAATTGATTGTATTTGAAATGATCCGTGTGTCATTTGTTTATCGTTTTTCAAAATAAAACCAAAAATAAGAAAAGGAAAAAACGATTTTCTAAAACCAAAATGAAAAAACAAAACCAGGACTAAACCAGAGCTGAAGAAGGACTAAAACAGGACTAAAACAGGACTGAACCAAGACTGAAACAGGACTAAACTAGAACTAAACTGATCTCAGTCCTGGTCCGGTCCAGGTCTCAGTCCCAGTCTGGTCCCAGTCTCAGTCCTGATCACCCATTTAGTTCTGTTTTAGTCCTGGTTCAGTCTGTTTATCTTTTTTTTTTTTTGATGACAAATAATCAAGGAAATAGTTGTTTTTTTGTTCTATTATTTTTCGTTTTATTTTGAAAAACGACTCAACAAAGGACACATGGATTTGAAACGCGCTTTTTATTTTTTTACTTTTAATTTTGACCAAATCATTTTTAATCATTCACAGCTTTAATCTAAACTCCTAAATAGATTTTACGTTTAGAACTTTTAGTTATTTTTATATTAATTTTCCGCTCCTCCAGTGCATAACCCAGCCCGTCCACACACTCCGCACCACCAGGACGCGCTCTCCAAACTCTTCGCTGCTGAGACGCCCGAGGTTTTCGTAAATCCACTTTTCGTTTGATTCTGTTTTTGACCCGCTCTTCTTCTCTGGACCCCGCGGACTCTTTCAAAGTGCCTAGGCCTTCAGAGCCAGTATCGGACACACGCGACCTGTGACGCCTCCCCCTGGTGGCGGGAGGGAGGACCGCGCGCCCCCTCGTTTTTCGCACTGCTCAGACTGCTGTTTTGTTTTAAAGGGGCTTTGTACAGAAATGCTCTTTTTATGATTGTTATTATAATTATTGTTATGATTATTTAATAAAGGATTTATACCAAAACCACGAAAAACCATTTGAACGTCTCTGATTTCTTCAACAACACAATTTGAATGTAAAAATTATGAGCCATTTCAGTTCAAAATAAAGAGTAAATTAGAATATATTTATCACGATACTTTAAAGAGTTTGATATAATTGTAGATGTGACACTTCTTTGCTTTTAAAATACCTTGATAAGATTTTGATGTGAATTATTTCCGTC